AGCAACCCATACTATTTTGAGTATGGCTGCGATTTTTGAGTTGGTGTTGTTTCTGACTCTGCTGTTCAAGTGATTTGGTTGCTATGCAATATATTTGCTGTCCTTGTTTTCTACGTTGTTGTTAGGTGCTGTTGAGTCAAGGACGACTCATAACAACCCTTTGGACAACAGACTTACATGCAGTCCTATGCTGTGCCATCTTCATCATCTCTGGTACACTTGAGTCCATTGTGGCAGTTTACTGAGTTGATTCATCTCTTTGGGGGTCTTCTTCTCTTTCAGTGACCCTCCACCTTTCTGAGCATGATGTCCCTTTCAAAGAAGGAGCCTCTCCTAGCAACATGCCTGAAGTGTGAGAGGCAAAGTTTTGCCATCTTTTCTTCCAAGGAGCATTCTTAAGACTAAAATGTGTCTGATGCAGGCCATAGTCTTTATTTTCTAAGAGGGAAACTAAATGAAAATTTAATGTATAATTAAACCTATAATTTTCTCTTCCAGTTATCATCCCGGTTCACCCACATTTTACAAATTCTGGTCCATTTCAGTTTTACTTCATCACCCATGACTGAACCTGGAAAAACTGGTTTGAAGCCCTAGTTTTCATGGCTGTAGGCTTTATAGGAGCAAATTGCCAAGTCTTTTCCCCTAAAGAGCCTCTGGGTGGGTTTGAACTGCCAACCTTTCACTTAGCAGCTAAGTGCCAGACTTCTGTGTTACGAGGGCTCCTTTGAGTGGCATAAAGAGACAGAAAGCAGACTGGAGTGGTTGAAAGGTAAGTAAGGGGGATCCAGGCTTGTATTTCGTAGTTTATTTGTTCTATTTCCTTAACCAGATTGTACATGCTTTTTAAATTTTCAATTTCATTATGGCCGCAATATACGTTCATTATAGAAAAGTTGGAGTAAACAGAATTAGTCAAAAGAAAAAAAAGTACTTCTTATCATTTTCTCAGCTAATCATGTTATAGGATATGTTGTTCCAGTTTGGGGTGTGTGTTTGTTTGGGGTTTTTCTGCCTATGCAAACTATATAATTCTCTCAATAACCTTCTGGGGTAAGATACTATTAGGCTATTTTAAGATGAGGAAATTCAGGTTCAGAGAAGCTAGCCAGTTAACCAAATGACATGCAATTAGTCAACATAAGAAGCAAGATTGGAATTCAGATGTGTCTGACTCAAAGTCAGTGTTTTTTCACTGCAGCTCTTTCCTGGTTTTTACGGGGGAGAGTCTTCTCCAGAAAACATCAGCTCTAGAATAAACCCTAAGAAGATTTCTAGTGTGAATCCCATCCCTAACCCATTTCCTCATTCAAGGATAGAAGAGACTACTAGGATTGGGGCATTGTGCTGTGGTAGAATTCCCACCTTCCATACAGCGAGATTGGCTCAGGACAGAGCAGAGTTCAGAGCTAATGTATATTGGGTGGCTATGAGTCTCAGGTGACTTGATGGCACATAACAACAACAAAGCAGAGATGGGGGTTAGATTCTCAGCCTATGCATCTCATATGTAATCACCTGTTTGTTAGTGGAAGCTTGTGTGTTGCTATGATACAGAGCTTCCTAACTAAGTTGGATAGAAAGAAATAACCTGAAAATCTATTTTAAAAAAATCAATCAATGAAAACTCAATACATCACTATCAATTTATCAACAGAATAAGATAGGAAGAAAGGCGTAGTGATAGACTTAACAAAAATCACTCACAATAAACTTGCCTGCCAGGGAGATGGCACAGGACTGGAAATGTTTTGTTCTGTGTGAAGGCCAACTCCATGGCAGTTAACAACAAGAGGCAAAGATTAATGGATAGCGTCTTTAGCCCCCTGTGGGTGCTTAGTGAAACTGAAGGGTGAGCAGTAGCACCTGAGCTTGGGAAATGTGAAGGCATGAGTAAGAAGAGACCTGGTAAGATGAAGCAGGCGTATGCACAATGCTAAGTTCTTTCCTGTGCTTTGTTGACTTTGCAAAGACATTTAACTATATGGATCACAGTAAATTGCAGATGGCATTGCACAGAATTTTAGAGCACTTGATTATACTCATGTTGAACTTGTACAAAGACCAAGAAGCAGTTATCTAAATAGAATAAGAGGCTACTGCATAGTTTAAAATCAGGAAAGATGTGTCAAGGTTGTATTTTTTCACCATATTTGTTCAATCTGTATGATGTGCAAATAAGTCCCTCCCCCCCAAAAAAAACCCCAAACCCAACAACCCCTAAGCAATATGAAAAAGAGTAGTGGTGGTGTGTAGTCTGTAGAAAGTTGCGCTGCTAGCCTAAAGTTGGCTATTTTGAATATACCAGCAACTCTTTTGGGAAAATGATGGGCAATTTATTCCTAGGCAATTTACAGCCTCTGAAAACCTGCTCGAGGATTAGCTATGAGTCAGCTTTGACTCCATGGCAATGAGAGTAAGAGTGAGGGAATAGGAAAAAGAACATACTATCAGAATTTGAGAAATATTGATTAAAAATCTGAGATATGCAGATGACACAGCTTTGCTTGCAGAAAACAAAGATGTCTTGAAACACTTACTGAAGAAGATGAAAGCCTATGGATTAGTATGGTTTATACTTCAACATAAAAGAAAAACCTTCACCCCTGCATCAATAAGCAACTTCATGATAAATAGAGAGAAAATTAATGTCAAATATTTTATTTTAGATAGAGGGAGAGGGGAAAGGGAAATGGAAAAGATCTGTTAGTAATCAGAAAAGATAGGATAATAGTGAGTATACGTCAATGGTGATTAATTTTATAAAATACAATTAATGAGAATAATTGTATGAAACAGTGTGAATGAAGGATAGCGTTAAACAATGTATATAAATCTTCTATGTAAACCAATATAAAATAAACATTTAAACAAGAAATAAAATTTCATTTTACTTGGATCCATAATCAGCACCCATGAAACAACAATCAAAAGATGTATTGCAATGGGTAAATCTGCTTCAAAGAACCTTTTTAATGTGCTGAAGAGCAAGAATGTCACTTTGAGCGTTAAGGTGCACCTGACCTAAGCCTTGGTATTTTCAATCACTTCATAAGCATGTGGAAGCTAGACAGTGAATAAGAAGACTCTAGAAGAATGATGCCCCTTGATGCACAATACTGGCAAAAGATACTGAATATTCTATGAACTATCAGAAGAACAAAAAATAAAAACCAACCTATCTTAAAATTGCTGCATTATTCACAATAGCAAAGAAATGGAAGCAACCCAAGTGCCAATAAAAAATGAGTGGATAGGAAAACTATGGTACATTCACACAATGGAATACTATGAAAAACAATGAAATAGTAAAACAGTACACAACATGGGGGGGGAACTTGATGAATTTTTGCTAAATGAAATATCTCAGTCACAAAAGGACAAATACTGCATAACACTGCTGTTATAAAATAGAACAGACATCAGGGGGTTGGAGAGGGAATGGCGAAAGAGTGGACAGATAATAAACAATGTATTAAAAGAGATGAAGGGAAGAACTGTCCGAAAGGAATATATGATTATACATTATATGAATGCAAACAATTGGGAATAAGGGGTGTATTGTGGAGTGGGCTGGGGTGGGAGAAGAAAATTTGCAACAACGACTAAAAAGAAAGAAAAGAAATATGTCTTCAAAGAAATGCAGCCTGAATGCTTTGAGACGTGAGGATGGTGAGTCTCGTCTCACATGCTGGAGACATGTTATCAGGAAGGACCAGTCCCTGGATAAAGATATCACACTTAGTACAGTAGCAGATCAGTGAAAAAGAAGATCATCAACAAGAAGCATTGACACAGTGACTGCAACAATAGATTCAAATACAGCCATAATTGAGATGATGATGCAGGACCAGATAGTGTTTATTCTGTTGTACACAGGGTCACTTTGTTGCTGAACCAACTCAACAACCAGCCCCTAACAAGAAGTCCTTCCTAGAAGGAGCTATGGTGATCCAATGATTAAGTACTTGCTTGATTCCTAACCAGAAAGGTTGATGGTTTTTTAACCCACCCAGTGGTTTTGTGAAGGAAAATGCTTGATGGTCTCCTCCCTTAAAGATTACAGCCTGGAAATATTGGAGCAGTTCTACTCTGTCACATTGGGTCCCTATGAGTTAAAAAAAAAAATCATCCATTCTATAACACGTAATAACCAGAAGTTCTTTCTTAGCAACATCAATACCAAGAAGTGATTAGACAGCTAGAGATGAGGAAACTGAGTCTAAGAAGAGTCACTTTCCCAGAGTCACGCAGCTGATTGGTACCATCCAGTCTCTGGAAGTGTGCATACGGCTGGGAGCAGAGTACAAGGACCGGTAAAGTCTGGGGTATAGAACAAGGCAGCAGTGGGGTGACTTGAGCCCGGGAGACGTTAGGGAGGAGGTGGAGGCAAAGAAACAGATGAGAAGGGCTATAGGGTCTGTGAACTAGTCAGTAGGGGACGAACAGGAAAGGGTGGGTTCATGGTGCACTTAACAAGGCTGGAAGGCTGGGATGGAAGGGGCTTGAGAGACCTGGATCTAGAGTAAAAGTGGACCGAGCCGTGGAGAAGCTTTGCGGGAGGCAGGGGGGGTGGGACAAGGGCCAAGAGGCGGGGCTTGGAAGTGGCTCGGCTGAGGGGAGGGGTTGGGAGAGAGGCTAGGGGCGGGGCTGCAGAGGGCTGGGGGCGGGGTCTAGGAGCCCGTAGCAAGGCTGGGAGGCGGGGCTACCCAGTCTAAAAAAGTGGGAGATGCCTGAAAGTAGGGGTCGAGACCGATGAGCAGCTAGGCAGCGAAGCGGGGGGCTTCCCGGAGTGGAGCGGTTGCGACTGTACCCTACGAAGGCACTGAGAGCTGGGGGCACCGAGGGGCGGGGCGAGCGGGAGGCGGGGCGTGCGGAGAGGCGGTGTCCCGAGGCCCACAGGGCGCCCGCGGCGGGTGGTAAGGTTGGCCCAGCGCGCACAGCTCAGCGCCCCTCACGCCCCAGTCCGGCAGCCGCGGCGCGCCCGCCCAACTCCCGCCATGCCCGAACAGCTCAGTGTTGCCGAGTTCCTGGCCGTCGTTACCGAAGACCTCAGCTCTGCGACTGGGGCCGCCGCTTTTGCTGCTAAGATGCCCCGGTGCCGGGGGGCGGCGCTGGCACGAGAAGAGGTGAGGGGCCCCGGGCGGGAGTGTTTGGGTTCTGGGCAAGGCCTGGTCTTGACCTTTATAGACATGACCAGAGACGCGACAGCCCTTCATCCCCGCTCCAAAAACTTGCTCTCTAGATCTGCGAGAACTCTACACATCGCAAACGTTCATGCCCCTTAACGTCGAGAGGGTGGGCCCAAGGGACCATTTGTGGGGGGCCTCGAGTGTACTTGGATGACAGACTTCAGAAGTTGGGGGACATACTGCAAATGCTCTTGATGGCCAGCCCTGTCCCATGTATGTTTGCTCTGTGCTTTACTGTATCAGCTTGTGTTTTCATCTTTGGAATCCCACAGTTCCCACCCCCCACCCCCCACCCCAAGGCACGCCACTTCTGAAAAGCAGTCCTTTCCTTGCCTCGGTCCTAAACTTCTCCCAGACTGCAGAGGGGCCCTCTTCCCTCTTGCCTCTGAGATTTGGCGGGTGTTTGTGGAATTAATGCGCATGGGAAGGCGCCAGGAGCCGGGGTTCACCTTGGCCAAACTATTGGCAAGTTTACAGCCTTCCCTCTCCTCCCCTTTTCTCTTTGTCTTTTGGAGCAAAGCGTCCTAGGCCCTTTTTTTCCGCCCTTGCAGAGTGCCCCACCCCATTCTCCTGCTCGCTGGAGTTCATTCCACCTCTTGACCTGCTGCAGGGAACGTTCTCTAAGGCCAGTGGAGAGTAATCTGGTTTTTTGCAGTTTCCTTCCCAAGGATGCCCTGACTCTTGGGTGGCCTTTTGGACCTCAGCTCTTACCTTCCAACCTTTATCTTTAGTGTATTTGGCACCTCCTGTGTGTGGCAGATACAAAACTCAGTAGGACTGTTCATAATACACTAGGCCGATGTCTGGAAATCTCTCCTTGTCCTGTCTGGTGATTGAACCCTGTCTCCCTGTTTCTGTGTTGCTTGGTAAGGGTAACAGGGGATAGTGGAAAATGCATCAACTTTGAGGTTTGAGACCTGTGTTCAAATTCATATTCTATAATTTACCAGCTGTGTGAGCTTGGACATATGACCAAGTCTATTTTTCTGTCATCTGTAAAATGGGTATAATAACATTTACTTCACAGGGCTATGGTGTTACTTGAGGCATGTGTATAAAAGCATGAGGTGGTGGTTGTTGCCATCAAGTTGATGTCGAGCCATGATGAATGACCCTAGGTGTGTCAGAGTAGAACTGTGTTCCTTGAGTTTTCAGTGCCCAATTTTTTTTTTTGGAAATGGATAGTCAGGCCTTCTTCTGAGGCGCTTCAGGTAGACTCTAGGGTGAACTTGCATTTACTTTGATAAAGGAGATGATTCTCATCAGTTTTAATCTCTGGACTTCCTTAATAGTAAGGTCTTGTACTGCCAACCCAAAGGCACATGATTAGAATTCACCAGCTGCTCTGCAGGAGGAAGATAGCCAGTCTCCTCTAGGTCTGTTTACAGCCTCTGAAAGCCTGCAGGAGGGTCAGCTGTGAGTCCCATCTGACTCAACAGCACATAACAGCAGCAGCTGTACACAGTAACTGGGTCTCTTTTGTTCTCAATTTCTCCAGGATCTGGCCTAGTGCTTTACACGTGGTAGGAGTATGTGTTTTAGTTTAAATAAGCAGCGGCTGGTGACCTTTGGTGTCCATCCTTGGGCAGAACCAGTGGTCCTATTTCATATAAATTTTACTGAGACACTGACTACATGACTTTATCCTGTGGAGGAAGCTTCCTAGGTTTATCTTCCTAGCTTTTCATTTCACCTCCTGGAAGGGCTCAGTGCCTCTGGTGTCCTTAGGGCTTTCAGTGTTCATCCTTCATTCCAGGTCATTCGTTGGAATGCAGAATCAGAGCAGGAACACAATGAACCCTCCCCAAGGACAGAAATGCCCATTTATGCCTGTACATCTGGTCCTGCCTTCTGTGTTTGTGTAAGCACTTGTATGTGCTTGGGGAAGGTACCCTTAGACTGGGTCTGGAAATTGCAGTAGACTCTTATCAGGGCTCCGCTTTGCCCCAGTTCAGACCAAACAAAACTGAGCCGCCTTTGCCTCCAGTGCATGCGAAGGGTTCATTCTTGCAACAGAAACTCATGTAGCGCCCAAACCAAACTTTCCAGCATTTCTGTGCCCTGAACCAATTAGAATCTGACCTTTGGAGTGGACTTTCCTGAGGTTTCTGTTTAGATTTTTGCATGTGATTGAACTTACACGTAGCTACGAGATGGCATTCCCCCTCACCTTCGCCCCTGTTACAGCTTAGTATAAGTACTCCCACCCCATACACACACAGAGAGAAAGAGAGGGAAGGAGGGGGAGAAGGAGAGAGAGAGAGAATGAGAATAAAAATGCAATTAAATTTTCAAATAAAATCTTCCAGTCTCCAATGATATCCTAGAGCTAACTAGAGACTCTGAACTGGGACTTTGCAGCTCCTGCTGAGAAAGATTAAAGGAAACTAAAATGTCAGGGTTGAAGGACACTTTAAGATAGAGATAAGTAGGAACTTTTGATTCAGATGTTTTTGTTGATATGCGCCTTTGGGAGCTGACTCAGAGCTGACTCTTCATTGTGTTTTCAGAGACTGTAAATTGCACGTGAGGAGATTGCCTATCTTTCTGGGCAGCTGGTGAATTTGAACCATGGGTCTTTGGGTTGGCAGTGCAACTCCTTATCCCTAGGCCACAAGAGCTCCCGAGATGAGAGAGCTGATGTCTAGAGAGAAGAGACTTGATTGAAGCCTCGCAGTTGGAAGAATCTCACAGGTGAAAGTCTCACAGTGGAAGAATTTGGCATTTCTACCTAGGTCTTCTAACCTCTTTTCAAGTAAAATCCATCTGTCTGTCTTTCCTGTGTCTCTCCTTGCCTCAATTATTTAATCTGTAAAATAGAACTAATAATATTTCACTAATTACCGCATTAGGGAGCCCTGGTAGCTTGGTGGTAAGGACAGCTGATAAGCGGGGATGGTCAGTGATGAGTTGGTTTTGACTTGACAACACATAAAAACAACAGTTACCTCATTGCAAATGTGAATGATTAAGATAATTTTCTTTTCCTGCCTTGGCTCCTATCACCTTGCCTCTATCACCTCACTAATGTTGGATGAAAACAGGCACAGAGAAATAAAGGCAGCTGTCCCATGTTACACAGCAGATCTGTCTGACTCCAAGACCTGTGTTCTATCCAATTCTCCTTGCCAGATCTGTTCTACCCACTAAGGACATAAAGATGTTACTCTGATTTGCCGGTTGTTTAGGGAGATAAAACTGCTATTAAGCCATAAATAGGATTCTATCTCAAGTGCCCTGTGATAAGTATAGCCAGTGCCATAAGAGGCCAGTGGAGAGAGAGCAAGACCAGACACTACTGTCCCAATCAGGGAGAGCTTTCTGGAAGATGTGAGAATATCAGCTGGGTATTGAAGGAGAAAAGAAGTTTATTAACTAGAAGAGAAACGTGAGGAAAGTCAGGGACAGATGGGAAGAGGGTGTGTTTGGGAACTAAATAAGACAATTTGACCAGAGCTGAGAATTCATACTGTAGCATGTCTCAAACTATGAATGAACATACACCTTCTATACATCTTGGATGATGAAGTCTACCAGAAATGACAGATCTTTGAAGGCCTGGGTTTTATATATTTTTTTTAGATTTTAATACCAAGTTTTATTTGCATAAAACATTTTTTTGGTTGTGTTGAAAATGTATGTAATAAAATATATGCCATCTAGTCAAACAATAAACAGGCCTATAAGGTAACAATAACACTAGGGAGGCACTCATTCCCTAGAATCATCAACCACGAAAGATCAAAAGGGCAGCGGTTGCCCAGGGATGCAGCTAAGAAGACAGAAGAGGATAGGATAGAAGGATTCATGGTAACAAGAATTACAAAGAGGAAATGGAAGAATATGGTTATAATGGGAAAACCAGTTTGTTTTGTAAACTTTTATTCAGATCAGTTTTAAATTTAAAAGCATAACAGAAGAAGCTAAACTCACCTATGACCACTTCTTACACACTCACTCTCCTCAGAGGTAATGGTGGTTATTGTTATGTGCTTTCATGTCAGAACTAACTCATAGTTGGCCTCCCTGTGGGTTCTTAGAGGCTTTAAATCTCATAAGAGGAGATTGCCCATCTTTCTTCTGAGGAGTAGCTAATGGATTTGAACTGCCTGCCTTTGAGTTGGCAGTGCAAGTATTTACTCCCTAGGCCAGAGCTCCCTCAAAAGTAACTACAGTGAACAATTTAAGGTGTATGCTTTCCAGTATGTATACTCATAGAACATATATTATTACTAAGAAGGGTGATTACAGGGAATGTTTAAATTACTATCATGCTTTATAGTATAATGCTTTTAAGTTTTGTTACAGTCTTAGTTATATTTTCCTTTGTGAAGTCTACATTTTTAAATATTATTTTACAAATATTTCATTTTAATATTCTTGTATAGTTTAAATTCTCCTCTGAGTTATAGCTATGTTTGATTTAGTATAAAAATGATACCATTTTAGAGATTGTTTATTTGCAAGAAACATAAATCCACCCAAGTTCATTTAGGTTTGAAGATGAATTTATTTTAAGGGATTAGAGGTACCTCCTCACATAGTAAGTAGGGAGCTCTGGTGGCCTAGTGGTAAGAAGCAGTGTTGCAATCCCAAAGGCACATGGTTCGAATCCATGGGAGAAAGATGAGTAGTCTCCTCCCATGAGATTTACTGCCTCTGAGAATCCGGTAGAGGGTCAGCTGAGGGTCAACAACAAAAACAAAAACAACAACAACATGGGCTATTAAGTGCGGAGTTGCGCTGCTTACCCACCAGCTGCTCAGGCGAAGGATGAGCAATCTCCTCCTGTGCCATTTACAACCTCTGAAAACCTGCTAGAGGATCAGCTCTGAGTTGGTTTGAACTTGACAGCAGTGCCTTTGACTTTGATATGGTATTGAAAAGCAGAACATAAAGATTATGGAACTGTTGCCTTAGATAAAGAGTTGTGCTGC